ATGGAATCATGAAGCAGCAAGCAGCAAGCAGGACGGGACAGACAGCCGGATAACCCCTGACTTGCCTTGCCGCCCGAGAGCTGGTGGGGCCGATCGGCCACCCGGCTGGGCCTCCGGCTATCGTCAAGACTGGCACATATTTTGGACAAGACAATATACTCATACAAGGTGGTGGTGATGATAGTGGTAGTGGTAGTGGTATTGTATAGAGGAAGAATGAGAAGTGGGAGAGAAGTGATCTCATCAGCATAAAATAGAGTGCTCTGAGCTTCACAATGGAGATTATTGTTCTCCAGCCAGTACCCAGTTAGCAGTGTCAATCCACCAACATCATTGTATAGATCCCACGGCCAAGTGGATCCCAGCTTTGCCTCTTTCTGCATCTCGCTGGCTCTCCTTTTTCCCGCGCGCTTCTGGCCTTCTCTTCCTCTGCCAATCTCATCCCCCCTTTCCTTTACGTTTCCTCTTTTTAGTTGATTTCCGGATTAATTCGAATTAATTATTGCATTTTCCCTTTTCAAGCTTTCCTCCAGATTTTCCGTCTTTTCTCCTCCCCCCCCCAATTTCTTTCCAATCAATGGATCTTCTCCTATTCTTTCCAACCCCAAAGTCTCAGTCTCAGTCTCAGTCTCAGTCCTAGTCCTAGTCTCACCTCGCACACGCAGCAGTAGCCTTTCCATTCCTGAGTCCAAACCCAAACTTTCCCGTCAGCCATGAGGCCTGCGTCGATCCTCAGCTGATTGTCTTTGATCTGCTTTGTTCCTGTTCGTGTCACTTGTCTGCTTCTCACCCAATTAGAGTGCAATGGCCCCCGGCTGGACTTCTCCGCCTCCTGCCTCGGGCGGTTTCCTCCCCTCGAGTCCTCCCCCATCGAACCATAGTCAGAACCATGATGACCATGACCATGGCAATCACCATGACCATCCCGATGCGACTACAATCACCGCCGCTACTACCGCTTCACCTCCTCCTCCTCCTCCTCCGCCGCCGCCTCTTACAACCACTACCACGCATCAGGACACCAATAATATCTCTACCACTACTACTACTACTACTATCTCCTATCACCCAGGGAGTCTTGACCCCAACCCCGGTCCGGGGCCAAGTCTCCCTAACTCCCCCATTTCCACTACTTCCACCTCCTCTTCCGCCTACCCCCCTCCCGACTTTCCTCCTTCGTCTATTGTCCCTATCCCCCTCTCCCCCTCCTCTCCCACCTTAGCATCTGCATCTCATACCCAAACCCCTTCCCTCTCCTCTCCATTCACCGTGCGCAGGAAGCCGCTTCCCCAGGATGCTGTGAACCCCTCGCACGCAGCTAGGCCTTTCTCCTCCTCTTCGTCCCTACTTGCCTCTCCTCGGGGCAACTCGCCTGCGCATCCGGATTCTCACCCGGCCTCCCCTCTGGCTGCCGGCCAGACGCTGGCCTTGTCCCCGGTTTCATCGCCGTCGTTTCTGGATTACGTATATGACCATCAGGACGACGAAGACGAAGACGATATATATCAACACACGCCTGAACCATACTCCGAATATACTCACGAACCAGAACAGCAACTACACCACCCCGTTTCTCCTCCCAGGGACCTGGATAGGTATGGCAGTCCGTCGCATCCCTTCTCCCTCTGAAGCTCTCCCTTAAGGACCCTTGCCCCTTGGCTGGTACACTCGCTCCGCCTTGCGCGCCTTTCGCAGCTCTGGGAAGGGCTTCTTATGTCCAACGCTCCCCGCGCACGTTCCAGGACTAACCCCGTGCTCTTCTTTGTCTGCCCCAGATTCCCGCGTGGTAGTCCGTCCTCGTCCCATCTCCGCATAGACACGACTTCGTCCATAGGGAGCCCTGTCAACGACAGCGACGACGAGACCCCCGTTTACGACATTGCTTACTCCACGCGATTCACGAATGCGACTCGGGTACATAACCGTCTTGTCAGTGAATCCTTCGTCCATAAACGTATATCCCCGGCTACAAACCCGAAGCGCGCTACCACAATGGCTCTGCACCTGCCGTCGAATGGTCCAGCCCCGCTGCAGATCGACCCTCCCCGCCGCACCGGCACCTCGTCCACTATGGGGGATAGCAAACAACCGAAGACACCCGGCAATAAGATCAGCTCTTTCTTTGGGTGGCGGGCAGGCAATTCCTCACCTGGCGCCGAATCTTCGAGCACCGAGATCTCCGAGTCCGGCCGATCCCCAATTCCATCACCCATGCCGCCGTCACTGCCCAGCGCGTCCTTTTCTATAACGCCATCCACGACGGTCCCCTTCGATCCTACCCGCCCGCATACGTCTCTTCCGCATCGCAATTCGTCGCTCAGCAGCGCCAGCATTTTGGAGAAGTCCGGAGCCCCAGCCCTGGTGGCAGAGCTCGAGAATGAGTTGCGGGAGATCAGCTCAGAGCTTGCGGGTTCGATCCGCCGGGAGATGGAGTTAGAGGACCTGGTCGAGCGACTACAGTCGGATTCGGTCTTCGACACGCCTAACCGTCGAACCAGCGACTACTTCTCCGACTCTGGCAGTAGCTCTATTCGTTATGCATATGAGTCTGGTGGTCGAGTGGAGGACATCGAGAAATACAAGCGTACTGCAGAGCAGGAGCGGGCCCAGATCAAGGTAGAGCTGTCTCAGAAACTGCAGGAAGAGCGCGGTCGACGAGCGGCCTCCGAGGCCCACGTTCAGATTTTGGAATCGCAAGTGCACCAGGTATGAATGCTTCAGGCCTCTTCTTCTGCTAGCGCTAACGCATCGTTCTAGCTGCGACGGGAAAGAGTCGATCTCTCAGATATGTCCTCCCGTACCAAAGAGCTGGAGACAGCTTTGGAAGCTACTCGTCGGAAATTGGCTGAAGAGCGTCAGATCAAAGACAACTTCGAAGATCTGCTCACTGCCATGCGTGTCGAGCTCGAGCAGCTCCGAAATGAGCGGGACCATCTGAAGGAGAATGTAATACCTCAGTTACAAAATAGTGCCAATAACTCCCACCAGCAATCGTCGGACCCTTCCGAGGTGGCGCGGCTGATGGGGGAGATTGAGGCACTGAAGATAGAGAATGCCTCCCTAGCACAACTGCAAGGGAGCCGGTTCGCCTCCATCGCGGAGGAAAATACCATGTCTTCGGCACGAGGTACGGGACTCGGTCTGTCTCGTTCGAACTCATTGGCACGTGTGCGCTCAAAACCAAGTGCCCCGACCGGTCTATCTCGGTCCAACTCTTTGTCTCGGTCAAACTCTGTTAATGTCAAGGAACGGAGCGAGCCGCGAGAGAACCTTGCCGACAGAATTGAAGACGTTGAAGCCCAACGGGATGCCCTTCACGAAGCTCTTCGACGTTTGCTGGAACGCCAGGCTTACGATTCTCGCGAGTACGAGAAACAGCTAAAGATGATGGAGCTTGAGCTGGCTCGTGCGCAGATGGCGGAGTCTCCGCGTAAGATCGGCTACGAACGCGAGGTACGGAACCTCCGAGAGGAGGTCAACTTGCTCCGCTCCCGTGCGGAAGAAGCCATGGAGCAGAAGTGGCAGTGCGAAAAGGGACTCGCAGGTCTGAAGATGGATCTGGACCGCGCCGAGCAGGAGACCACTTCCTTGCGAGTTCTGCTACAGGAGCATGACATCACGGTCCCTGAGGACTATGAAAGCGACCGGGACGGGTTTGCTGAAGTCTTGGTCACTTCGACCTCCCTGGAGACTGCCTACAAGCAGCTCCAGGCTGACCGGGATCAGGCTGAAGCCACTGTGGCGCAGTCTCCCATGCTGGCGGAATCGGTGACTCGGACCGACAGCTTAGCGGATCATGTGCAGCAACAACTTGCAAACAACATTGCTCTGCGTGCCCGCTTAGCCGAGGCGATTGGTAAGGGCGAGAAAGAGCAGCAGCTGTCGGCTGCGCGCATCAACGAGATGCAGAGCCGGCTCAAGGAGATGGAGGATATCCTTCTCATGGCACAGCAGTTCTCCGAGGACGAGATGGCGCGTCATGAGGAAGAAGTCCGCAATCTTCAGGAGAGTCACAGTCTTCAACTGACGCGCGTCAAGAATGGCGCGCGCAGCCCAATGGCCCTATCTCCGAAGCCGCCGAACACCCCATTCGGCGCGCGTTCACCGCGGTTAGATAAGACGACGAGTGGGGACGGAATGGCGCTGAACGAGGCGGTTCAGTTCGAGACGCTGGCGAAGCGGGTCAAGGAGTTGGAGAAGTTACTCCGGGACGCCGACTCGGAGATGGAGGAGGTGGTCAGTCGGATGAACCGTGCGCAGATTGAAGTCGCCGAACTGCAGTCCGATCGGTGAGTTTTACCCTTTTTCCAGTTTGGCCTTGATAAATGACCTTTCAACTAACCCTTCCCAGGGATGAGGCACTACGCCAGACCAGAAAGCTCCAGGCCGAGATTCTGGCTGAACGCGAGGCATTAAAGACCCTGATTGTTTCTTAAGAAGTAAACCGTGGATGCGGATGCTGTGCATCCACCCCGCTTGTACATGGTTGGGAGATCCTCACCAGAGGTGCATGTATATAAATGACCATCATCAGTGATCTAGATGTATAATATCATAGACTAATATCGCATTTTCAGTTTCTGTGGTCTTTCAAGGGATGATGACCGGGGCAAAATGCCTTTCCACGCGGGCTATAGACCGAGACACCATCACCGCCCTGACAAGTGGAACTAACTGGCAGAATTGCTAAGAGGGCGTGGAATGCTTGAATTCCTCAGTAAGACATGTGAGTTGCTGATAGTGATGTTGTTAGCAAAGTGCTGCCGAGTGTTGACGAGGACTCTCTGGGGTGTTCTATCGAAACGATCAGAATGAGTCTAATTGCAAGACATCATGGATAGATAGGCCGGATGAACCTTGTCCAGCATCACCTCGTATTGTCTCAAGGACCCAGACGGAACCTCTCCTTTTAGGCAGGCGGTGATGCAAGGAAATGACACTCTGACCCAGGCTGAAACAACAACAACAAAAGGAACTTATCGCCAGATCTGTTTGTCTGGTTTGTTCTCATTATTTGTTCCCCGCAACCAACCATCCTTTATCACCACCAATCCTCCGGTCTCTTTCAAATCGCATTGTGTGCCAGACCTCACGATCATGACTATATAAAGATCACGACGTCTCTGAATTGTCCTCGGCTGTTTCACTCAAAGCTCACCTTACCCGGACCGCATTCACGCACCGCCTCGACCGCAACAACTCCGTAATCAGCCGGAAAACCAAGATCAGAAAAGGCAGAAGCATAAGCGCAAGGATGGAATATCTGCCAGGTGAGTCTCAGTCCAAGAAGCCCAGCAGCCGACCGTCCGGATCCTCCACGCGACGGAACGCCATCAACCCACCGGCTCCAGTGCCAGCCCCATTCCCTAATGGTGGTTTCTCTCGCGCTGGGAGAGGAGGAGACGATGGGCCCGGCGGCATCAGCTACATTCAAGTCTTCCCGGACCTGACCCCGTCCCAAACCAACCCATTCCCCATCATCAACCCGCATCACCAAGCCCAGCAGCAGCAGCAGCAGCAGCAGGAGGCGAGCTTCTTCGAACCGCCGCTAGAATTCCTCACTCTGCCCGCGGCCCCTACCCCCACTACCGATGACTATGACAACAACTACGAGTATACTGACCAACCCCCCATCGTGGTACAAGACTCGATCACGCAACACCTCACCACGACCTCCTTCTCGGCGCTCACCGCCCACCTCAACACCTCGTACCTGACGCCGGCGCTCGCGCACGTCCGCGCCGCCTACATCGACCCCTACCTCGTGCGCCCGGCCGCCAGCTACCTCGCCGCCTCCTCGGGCGCCATGCCCGACCTCATCTCCGTCACCCTCCTGCTGGTGATACTGTTCCTCTCGCTCAAGCTGCTCGACTACGCCCGCCGCGTCGTCATGTTCTGGGTCAGCCTCGCGTGGTGGCTGCTCTGGTGGGGCACCGTCCTCGGCGTTGGGGTCTGGCTGTACACCAGCGGCGTCGAGCGGGCGGCCCGCGACGTTGGGTGGTTGGTCGGCCTCGCCAGGGGGCTTTTGGGAGGTCTCTTCGAGGATCTGGAGCGCGCGGGGCGGCAGCACCACCCACAGCAACATGGAGGACGGCAGCCGGGGGTTTTTGGGGGAAATAATGCTGCGGGGTTTGGCGGCAGGGGCCAGCAGGTTCCTCTGGGGAGGTATTGAACCTCTCCCGGGCTTTCTGTCTGCTTGGTTTCTTTCACTTTCGTTTTGGTATGTTTGCCGGGTTGGTGGGCGTTTGGTGTGAAGTCAAGTGAGCCAAGCTACCCAGTAGATGTTCATGTATGCTATGGTTGTTTATAGTGTACTATACTTATACTATGGGCTTGTGTGTGGCTTGCGCTTCGGGCTGGATTTTCGCCATGTCTTTGGGTTTAGATTTCTTTGGAATCACTATTGTTATTTATTATTTCATGTTTCGGTTTTGTGTGTTATCCTGATTTTTACATTCGTAAACATGGCATGCATGGCTTGTAGCCTTTGATGGCTGGCTGGCTGACAGACCCAAGCTCTGATGCTGTCATTCCACATGTCCCGATATCGGGCAGAATGCTTGGCCGGCGCTTTTTGACCGTCTGGCTCTGTATATCCTCTCTTCTCTGGCTTTCTCTTATCTGGCCATATTCTTGTCGCTGAATCTCTCTCCTGGCACATTACATGCAGCTTGCGTGAAAGAAGCGGTGGAAGTGACATTCATTTCGCAAACGAGACTTGCAATAAGTGTGGTGGTGGTGGTGGTGGGGACGTCCAATTGACATCCTGCGATAACGAATTGTCGGTAAAAGAGAACCCACTGTCGTTTGGCGACGACCGGCTGATGTGTTGTTGATCTCGGCTTGCGCTTCATTCCTCAGTTGCAGTCCCCTGCCGCTCGCACATTTCCCCCTCCCTTTGTCAGCCCCACCCCCCCTCACATATCGCCATCCTCATAATCGACCTCCTGGGCATCGTTGGGCTCGCGCGGCTCCTGCGCTTCGTGGTACTGGATGGCATCGTCAATATGGCTCAACACGGCGGCGACGCTGTCCTCGTCCTGGACATCGAGCTTCAAGAAGGAGACCATGCTGAAGTCATCGATGAGCTGGCCGACGGCGCGATTGAGCTGGTTGAAGGAGCCGCCGCTGAGCAGGTTCTCCTTGGCCGCGGGATCGCCCTGGACAGCGACCTCCCCACCGCCTGTTGCCTCCGCCTCGTCACGGTCCTGATCCGCCTGCAGCAGCTGGACGTCGACGTTGGTGAAGCGCTTGAGCTCCTTGCGCGAGATCATGTCCTTGACCTGGTCCATCTTGGTCAGGATGTTCACGTGCGGCATCTCCAGCATCAGCATGGCGGACATGGCGCTCAGCGTGCCGGCGAAGAACTTGGCCTTGTCCACGACAAACGTGCTCTCTAGGAGGTAGGCGGCGCACAGCGAGATGTTCAGCGGGCCGGCGCGCGACAGGAACTGCACCAGCGACGGCAGCAGCGGGATGTGCGTGTACAGCTCGATCTGGCCCGGCATGTCGAAGATGATCAGGTACTCCTCGCTCAGCGGGTCCAGCGCCTCCGTCAGGAAGTCCAGGTTCTGCAGCAGGAACTCGAAGCAGTAGATCAGCCCGCCGTTGGGGCCCAGCCCCAGCTCCTCCATCACGTCCTCCAGCGTGATCAGCTCCCGGATGTCCAGGTCCGGCTCGTAGCTGAACGTCTCCGCCGCCGGGTCCAGGTTCACGTAGAAGCAGCTCCGTCGCGTGTTCTGAAGCTGCTGGATCACCGCGCTGCAGAAGGTCGTCTTGCCGGCCCCGGCGGGGCCCATCACTAGGACGCCGAACTTGGACATGTTGAAAGAGGGGGTCCGATCTTTGTAAAACAGGGAAAAAAAAAAAGATGGGAAAAAATAGATTGGGAAGAAGCCCAAAACGGAAACCTGAAAAGCAATCTCCGATGGGGAAAAAGTCGGAGATGGACGCAGGGATGTTTCGTTTCGCTCGTAAGCGCAAGCTAGTATGGCGAGTGGGAGAGTGAGAGAGGAACCGGACTAGAAAGAAAAAGGCCCGAATGTTGAGTTGAGTTAGCAACGCAACTTGGTTAGCAACCAACAACAACCAGCCCCCCCCACGGGTTGAATTTGGATAAGCTGGGAACTCGGAGAAAGGCAATCGGCCTGTGCAATAATGCGGATAAGCAGGAAGCGGACAAGCAGATGAACCGTCCGTCTACCGGTAGACTCGTCTCGAAGTGCTAGACTAGTTCCAAAGACTGACTACTGTCCAGTGCAGAGAGACTAGAAAGTGCCGCCGCGGATAGACGAACGCAAAGGAAAACCGAAAAGTCCGGGTACTGCCAGTCCTCACCGCATGCAGGTGGACGATTCAATCTCTCCGATTGGTTCCCACTTGCGTCCCCGGCCTTTTTTCTTCTTGTCGGCTTTTAAAAGTCTTTTTTTTTTTTTTTCTTTTTTTTTCCTCTCTGCTATTGCCATCCGTCACCGCCGGAGCCAAATCGCGCCATCGGAAAGACATTAATACGGGGAGGGAGAGAGACCGGCGGGGCTCCCATTCATTTTCTCCCCCTCTCCCACTGCCTTCCCACTCTCTCCCCCCCTTCTTTTTATTCTTTTCATTTCTACCCCTTCCTTCCACCTCCTCGCTTACTTCTTCTCCTTTTCTCTCTCTCTCTCTTCATCTTCCTCCTCCTCCTTCAATTCCACCTCCTTCTCCTTCTCTTTCCTCCCATCTTGTGTCTTTAATCACATCACATATCTCCTCTCATCACAATGGGCAGCGTCGCTAACCCCAAGACCGGAACTTTCCTGTTCACCTCCGAGTCCGTCGGAGAGGGTCACCCTGATAAGATTGCGTGCGTTTCTCGCTCTTCTTCGCTCAGAAGAATGTAATTGCCTTGCCAGACTCTCCTGCTAACAATCCAACAGCGACCAGGTCTCCGATGCCATCCTCGATGCCTGCCTTGCTGAGGACCCCCTCTCCAAGGTACGTGCCCCTCAATCTCGGGCCTTTGCGCATACTCCCCTCTGATTGGCTGCCGTTATCTACGCGGGGCCTTTTTTTTTTCTTTCGTGCATCAAACCAATCACTAACGTGCATTGCTCAGGTTGCCTGCGAGACTGCCACCAAGACTGGTATGGATTGTTCTCCCTTGTTGACGTGACTATTGTTCTAACAAGCCCCCCCCAGGTATGGTCATGGTTTTCGGTGAAATCACCACCCAGGCCAAGCTCGACTACCAGAAGGTCATCCGTGGTGCCATCCAGGACATCGGCTACGATGACTCCGCCAAGGGTTTCGACTACAAGACTTGCAACGTCTTGGTTGCCATTGAGCAGCAGTCTCCCGATATCGCCCAGGGTCTCCACTACGAGGAGGCTCTTGAGAAGCTCGGTGCCGGTGACCAGGGTATCATGTTCGGTTATGCCACCGACGAGACCCCTGAGCTCCTCCCCCTCACCCTTCTCCTCTCCCACAGACTCAACAGCGCCATGAAGGAGGCCCGCAACGACGGCTCCATCCCCTGGCTCCGCCCCGACACCAAGACCCAGGTCACCATCGAGTACGCCCACGACAACGGTGCCGTCAAGCCCCTCCGTGTGGACACCATCGTCATCTCTGCCCAGCACAGCGAGGACGTCACCACTGAGGAGCTCCGTGCTGTCCTCAAGGAGAAGATCATCAAGAAGGTCATCCCCGCTGAGCTCCTCGATGACCGCACCGTCTACCACCTTCAGCCCTCCGGCCGCTTCGTCATCGGTGGTCCCCAGGGTGATGCCGGTCTGACCGGTCGTAAGATCATCGTCGACACCTACGGTGGCTGGGGTGCCCACGGTGGTGGTGCCTTCTCCGGTAAGGACTACTCCAAGGTCGACCGCTCCGCTGCCTACGTTGCCCGTTGGATCGCCAAGTCCCTTGTCAACGCTGGCCTTGCCCGCCGTGCTCTCGTCCAGCTCTCCTACGCCATCGGTGTCGCTGAGCCCCTCTCCATCTTCGTCGAGACCTACGGCACCTCCGAGAAGTCCTCTGACGAGCTCGTCGAGATCATCCGCAACAACTTCGATCTCCGCCCCGGTGTCATCGTCAAGGAGCTCGACCTGGCCAAGCCCATTTACTTCCAGACCGCCAAGAACGGTCACTTCACCAACCAGTCCTTCTCCTGGGAGAAGCCTAAGGCTCTCAAGTACTAAGCGTGTCAAACGCTGTACCCGAGCACCTGCTTCTCTTGTGAGTATGTTTGCGTTACGAATGTGATGATTTTGCTTTGTTTTCAACAACTCAAAGCATGAGCATAGACATGTCAAAAAAAGCAATTGTTTCCTTTGGATTGTTTGTCCACTTTTTGCATGGTCGTCTCCACAAGAGGCGGGTTCGGCGAGGATAAATTCAACATGATACCACTTTTCATATATTGGGAGGGTTGTTACACGGCGTTTTCGGGAGCGAAAGTCTTCAACACTGCCTCCTCCAGGGTCCCGGGGGACTCGATGGGCCAGACCACGAGTGCCTTCGGAGTCGCGCGGTGCGTGGCTTCGGCATGTGGTGTTGTCCGTCGGCTCCCTCGGTCTGGACTTTCGGAAGTTTCCGATAGGAGCAATCGCATAGATGGGGAAGGAACGGATGTTCTTTCGGTCATCATGAGCTGCTAATTTAAAATTAGCAATATAGATTAATGAAGGACAGGCTATGCCTGTGTTGTGAAGATCTGATTCATTTGTAGTCGCGTAGGAGTAAGTTGCTTTAGCCTGTGCTGGAGTCACAACATCGAAAATGTAGCCACATATCTATAATCTTGTGAAAATCAGCGCTTCAAAAACAGAAGAAAAAAAGGAGAGAAAGAACACTTCTCAAAAGAAGCAATGTGCAAATGCTGAGAGAGAATTTGAAGTTTTGGTCGATAGCCCAAACAAACACTTCATGATTTCTACTGGGGTAGTTCATATTTGCAAATTGGCACGAGTAGCCCACCGTATAAGTGCAAGCTGCTCGTGCCAATATGCAAAAACCGGCACCTGACCGCCGAGCAGACCGCTTTCTTAATGGGATACCCCGCGCTCCGCCGCGCGGACGCGTGATGGCGGACGGAGCATCGCGCGTCACCGCAACCCTTGAAGAGCCCTTTTCTTCCTCTACTTACCACAACCCAATAGACCTAGATCCTTGTTACACACCAACTGCACTAGACTGTCTGGGTCTTGCTCTCCGGATACTATCAAACGGAAACCCACAGCATGAACTAGATCGCTCCTCTCCGCCGACCAAAACAAACGCCCATGGCCTCGCTCGTGTCCTCCGGCGCCCTCCAACCCATCCCTCTGAACCGAGTCCCTCACACCCAAACCCACCAACCGAAAGACCACGGCGAAAGCAGCAGCGCACTTCCTCCGCTCAAGAAGCGCAAGACATGCTTCGACCCAGCTCTTACGTCGGGCTCCTACTCCCCCGGGCCACCGACTGATTGGATCTCGCGGCCGATTACGATCCGGGTATGTTTTTGTTGGAATGTCTTTCTGGTTCTATAGTTCTATAGTTCTTGTGTTCTTCCACTACTTGTACCCTCCCCCGCGATACCTGCTTGTGATGCTCCGCTGGTAGCGTCCCTCACTTGCATTCTTGATTCATTCCGACGTATACGACACCCACGCTACACTACACTATATTCTACGATCTATGGAAAAACTAATTAAGGAGTCAAGGCACCCACCACCTCTCTCTCCCAAGAACCATTCGTCCTCGCGCCTATTGCTCTGATCCCGCGCTCTCGCATCCCGTTCGCCTGGTTGGAGTACGCACCGCATAGTGTCACCTCTGCGTCGTCGTCGTCGTTGTCCTCGCAAGTCCAGTCGGGATATCTTTTTGTCGCACATATCCCGATCCTGGAATACTATGATGGCGGTGCTGCTGCTCGGACGGGTCGGGAGAAGATGGTGCTTGCTGCTAGGATGGACCCCGGTGGCGGGCTGGTGGTTGTGGAGCGCGTGAAGAGGGGGATCTTTGCGTTGTTGAGGGTCGCCGAGGCGATTGGGGAGGGGGAGTTGGTTGTTGCGGGGAAGGAGGGGGTGCGTGCTGAGATTGGTGGGGGAGTTTATGGTGAGGGGATCGGTCGTGATGTGCAGGAATATGGGGAGGAAGAGGACAGTAAGGGCCAAGGTAGTGTTGGAGGGGGTGAGTGGTGGGCTGCGGCGAGGATTGAGGAGCCTGATGCTCGGGGCTTGCAGCAGGTGGGGAAGAGGGCCAAGGTGGAGGTTGCTGTTGTTTTTGCTGGGACGGCTGAGTGTGAGGTGCCGCCGTTTAAGGATGCTGCTCATGGCCAGGGCTCGCAGGCTATGACGCCCCAGATTGCCGTTCCGTTGGAGAGGAGCTCGAGCGTTTCTGGAGCGGATGCTTGTGCTGTTGCTGATGCTGATGTTGATGCGGGTGTTGATGCTGCTCAGGCGCTGGCGCAGGAGAGTGCTGATGCCCTACGGTCCCCGCAGGACTTCTTGGAGAACTTGCGCGAGCAGTATTTGCAGGCGCTTTATATCTCGAAGGTGAGTTTGGTGTGTCTTCGGCTGAAGGTGTATATGCTGACTGGGAGTCTTAGACGTCTGTGGCGTACTTTGCTAAAGGTCCTCTTGCGCGCTGCCGGGCTGCGTTTCAATCGTCCGAGTCCGAGGGCAGTAGACCTCAGGATTTGATTGATTTTTACAGGGAAGCTATCCTTGTCGCTAAGAAGATGGATCTCAAGTATCGCGAGACCCTACCTGCTATGCTTAGTGATGTGCTACTTACTTTGTCGGATGATGAAACGGTAACCAAGAAGAAGAAACGCAAGAGCACAAAGAAGAAGCTTGGCAAGAATGGGCTCTACCCTGAAGAAACTGATCTGGTGCGCAAGTGGTGGAAGAACCGGACGCTCAGCGATCAGGGACTGTCCGCGGAAGGCCCAACGTCGAGGGAGACGGAGTCCAAGAGGATGATTGCTGATCTACGCCTGCGCGAAACGCAATTGCAAATCCTTCTCATCTTGGAAACAATGTCTCTTGAAGCGGCTGCTGCTGAGGGTGAACAGAGCAAACAGACTGACAATGCTGAAGGTGCGCCAGAAGCACCCGCCAAGAAGGAGTCGAAGAACAAGAAGCAGCAAGATTTGAACACCATGCTCGAACTCCACCTTGACCGACTGTGCATCTGGTACGCTGTCAGCTTTGAGGAGTCCGTTGTCCCTGATGCAGGTGCGGCGTACGGCCAGAGCCACCTCTCCGGAAAGAAGGTAGAGAGCGACGCTGTGCGGGACTTCTGCACGGAAGTGATTATTCCTTTCTATGCATCCCGTCTGCCCGATAAGTGCAAGTCGATCACACGGAAACTGGGCGTCTCTAGTGCTATTTCACCTTTCACCAAGCAGGCTCAGACCAAGAAGGCGCCCAAGGGAGAGCCTGGTACTCCTGTTGAACGGCAACAGGCGCAGAAGCAGTCTCGTCGTCGTACCTTCCAGCGTGTGCTTACAGATCAGATGACGTCTCAGCCTCGCCACACCCCGTCTCTGAGCCGGTCGAACACTACGCCAGCGCAGGCCGAAGTGAGACGCAATTCCTTGGATCCATTGTTACCGATCGCTGGGGCAAGCGTGCGTGGGGGAATCCAGAAGGCCAAACGCGCTGAAAACCGCGAAGTCGACCTGAACGCCGTCACGCGTCAGCACGAGACGAAGCTCAAGAAGATGCAGATGCTGGTAGAGCAGAAGAAGGAACTGGATGCGGCCATTAACGCTCTGCGCAAGCCCAACCGCGAACTCGTGGCCAAGGATATTGCCGATGATGCCGTTAAGCGGCATTCGACTGGATCTGTGCACAGCACCAGCTCCCGGAAGCCGAAGAACCCCGTGCGTAATCCCATGGGACAAGGAGTGCAAGTCGCAGCCACGCCTAAGAAGGGCAGTCGGAAGAAGGATGCTGTCGTGGGGATGCCCCCTGTCCCCACGACTTTCTTGCAGTCATCATCAATCTCTAAACCCACGTTCTCGATGTCCTCTCCCTTCAATAGTGAGCCCCAGGTGATCCCTGGCTCGACTATTCGGTCTGGTTCATTGTTCTTCGGATCCTCCGGTCGTGGCGGAGGTAGCACAGTCCAGGAGACCCCAATTCGTCGTCCAGCCCAACCACTCTTGGCTGATCCCACCGCATCACCATTGTCGAGTGGTTCCGGTGCCCTCTTTAGGGTCCCGCCCCGCCAATCGGCGGTGCCAGCAGCACCGCGCCCTGTGGACATGGCCCCCTCCACACCGGTGCAGTCTCGTCGGCACGTGGACACCTTCCTCCCGCGCGTCAAGCCATCGATGGTGATGGAGACACCCCCCAAACCGGCCCTCATACCCGCCGCTGTCCCCGCTGGGATACCTATCCCTGAAGACAACCCGGTCCCCAGCCATGTTCTTTCCGTTGAAACCCCCGTCAAAGCGCCGGCAGCCGTGTTCAGCACGCCGGTGCGGAAGCCCAGTGCTGCCAAGCTGATGGTGCCGGCCACCTCAGCCGCGGTCCCGGTCACGCCGGAGAAATCAATCTATTCGGCACTGGGGTGGGATGATGATGATCTTGCAATGTAGGCGTTTGAGCACTTTGTTCTTGAGTTAGTGATACATCGGCGGTGCTTTTTCTTGTCATGCATTCAGCGGGCGTCTACTAGGCACATTCTTTTTGTTCTGGTCTCAGCGTACAAGTTTATTGATATATCCAGCTAGTGAAGGTATATAGAATGGGAGAAGCATGTTTAGGTCTTCATTCAAGGCTCTCAACTTGCTTAGTGAATCACAAAAGCCCTGTAGTGAATGGTTCTCATTAATCTCTTCGTGGTCAAGTCAATTGTCTTATTCATCATATTTCCATTTTTCTGCTTGTACAGTATATTAACTTGTTCTGGTTCTTCCTCCTTCCCCATTCCCTATCTTTTTCCTGTTAATCGTCTTTCACCCCCTCTATACATTCCCTTCTCATTCTCCATCTTTTCTCTTTCTTCCTTCCTTCCTTCATCTTCTCCATCCTCCCTTCTCCATCCTCCCTTCTCCATCCTCTCCCCCTACTATCGAACCAGCAATAAAATGTTCCAAATCATTTCGATCCTCTGATTCTAGAGGTCCACCATATCACATGTTCAAGCCCCAGCGACTTCAACCCAGGGGCCAGCCTCAAAACTACCCCAAGACTCCATCAGA